TAGCGAAGCGTGACATTAGCAATCCTGCTGTAACTCGAGGAATGACGATGTCTTCGCAGGCGACTGAAAAGCCTCGGCCTAGCCGCGCAATCAGCACAGGGCGGTACTTGCATGTAGCCTCACGACTTCCTCAGGGTGCGTTGCAACACAGGAGGCATTCCAGAACGACTAACCAGGCACTTTTGCTGCACAAGAACAATGATGGGCGGAAGCCAGTTCTCCCTTCTTTCGTGACTTGCACTACATCGACCAATCTCAACTACGAATCTGTGGTGGAGCCTGTTTACTCTGCAAGATCTGATGAGTCAGGGAGCCGTTTTGATTCTGGAGTCACTCCATCACTGGGAAGCTTCACGGAGGATTCCATGGAGACTTACTCCACCCAGCAATTTGACACGGGCAGTGGGGTGACCTGGTGGGCTGGCTCAACGTTGGAGCGCCTTACGCGCTTTCGCACCAGTCGAAATATACAGGCGTTGCCACCCTCTTCGCAAGCCAGTAACTTTGAAGACGACACGCCAGAACAAAGTGTCGAAGGCTCCGCAGCGCATGAATCCAGACAGTCTTCGGGCCGTCTTGGTGTAGTTCCAGCTTCTAGTGAGACTCAGAGTCCAACTACAGCAGTTAGGAGGCGACGGCTTGTCGAGCCCGGCAATTTGGCAGCTAGGAGACAAACTGCCATTGTTGTGTCCTCCGCACAAGCGAGTGGAGAAGGAGAGAAACTGCCAGCAATCTCGGAAAAATTTGCAGGTGTCCTTGCTCCCCCTGAGAAACGCGAGAGGCGTTTCACCACTTCAGATGTGGCGAAGTTCAAGAGCACAGCGGCTTCTTTCAAGGGGGGCCGTCTGGTCCTAACAGCGGACGAATTAGACAAAGAATCTAGGGATGGTCAAGCGACCTTACCGGTGCCTCCCTTGAAAGATGTCCCCAAAATCAGGCAAGGAAGAAGAGCCACAACCCAAGTTACGACGCCTAAAAGCACAAATTCTCCGAGACTGTCTGCTGAAGCAAAAGCAAAAAGGGACAAATCGCCTATACTAACTAAGAAGTTGGCGAAGAGAGATAGTAGGAGTTCCCTAAACCCGTCATCTGCTTCTCCACGCGAATCAACTCAGGCAGTCCCAGGGGGCCGAAGGATGTCCGCACCTCCTCCACGAAGAGCAACACAGGCAAAAATTGCCCCTGCACTACCTCCTCCGCGTGCGCGTGCTACCTCTACCCGTGGTGCCCCTGCAGGAGTCCCTTCGTCCTCATTAAAAGCCCCTTCAGCAAGGCGAAAGACTGTCAAGTTACCTTCTTCCAAAGTGAGAGGCCAATCCGTCAAATCACAGAAGGATGAAGAACTTCTATTACCGGAAACAGAGGAACTGGATAAGGATGATAGAGATGTGGAGGATGAGAAAAGTGGAGAAATGCCAACGGCAGTAGAGACAGAACCGGAGCCACCATACCCGTACCTTACCCTTAAGGAGCTGCCAGCATTAGAGAAACCTGTCAGGCCTCTTCCAAATTTGAGTGCTCTTCCCCTCAAGGCAGGCTTGGACCCTCCACCACCAATTGACGTAAGTTGAAGGAGCATTTAATATGTTTAAGTTCCAGGACTGGAGCACGCGAGCAGTCATTGCCATGCTGGGTCTGCTCTGTTGAAATAACCATTTATGGATGCACTGCCTCTTCGCCTTTCATGCTTCAAGCAAAGGCAGCCGCTATATTGAACTTTGCAAGGGATCTAATAGCTCGCGCCTTCATGCGATGTTCTCTAGATACACATTGTGCATCTTCACGGAGTGCGTAGATGCGCTGTGTAATGTGTTTGGCCTTTAGGATTCTGTGACATTCACACATGTTCTCGATCGTAACGAAAGATTGACAGAAGCGGGTAGAGATGAAGCCACTCAGCATGTAGTTTCGTCTCTCTGCAACGATGGCCCAGATACAATGCTGCTAGTTGCTCGCTGGCTGGACACTGCAGCAGACACTGTCGAGAGCAACACTATCGCTGCGGCTGAGGGGCTGCCGTGGCGTGATGTTATTCCGCCACTTTTTATTGGGGCCAATAGGCACAGAGAGCTTTTAAATCCAACAGCGCCACCCAAATCTTTTTCACCGAAAGAGCTACGAACCTTCTTCGAAGCAGAAGGATTCATAGAAACGCAAGAGCAAAAGCTGCGGCACTTACTGGAAACAAAGAGTCTACCAACCAAGCCTTCAGATGGTAAAGAAAAGTTGTTCTGTTCTGAAAGCGTTGACTAGTAGCTCCCAGATGCAGTTACACTTTACAGTCTGCACGTACACTGCTCCAACATGCCACAACAATTTTGTACTTCTTCAGGCAGAATGCTCCGCCTTCGCCGACAGAAATGTTGCGGGACCGTTTGGGTGCGTGTTTCAGGTGTATTACCCCCTAAATCGCGCACGCCACTTGACAACTATCTCGACTGCTTGCTCGCCGTCGCCGTGACATTCCTTCGGAGGAGAAGGCAGCCGGTAGTCTTCCCAAAAATTACAAGATTTGTCGTCGGTGTTGGCCAAAAGCCTCATAGCAGTTGCTCCTGCAGTGCATGTTTTTCAAACGATATAGATATCGAGAATGATCATGAGATGCACAGAACCTACTGTGACGCACCTGCATTTGGATCAGGAGTGCATGCATCTCAGCGGCGGTGTGCGAGCTGCCTCACGGTAAGGGGACCTTCAACAAGCTGCCTCAGCATGAATACTCCCTGTACACAAATAGAGAGTCGTGGGCTTTTCTGCTGCTCACCTGGAGATATCTGTGGGCCTCCTGAACTGGACCTTTTTGAGTCTACTGCAATGCAGCAAGTACGGGCGGCTGTTCGCCAAATGCCGGTTCTTCCTTCAGAAAGATACCTTCGTTATTTGCGGCTGACAGGCCGTCGAAGGGAACTTACTGCGCTAGCTGTTTGGTTAGCAGGGAGGCCCGACATTATCCCAACCTTCTCTGAACATGACCCGTCGGAGCCGGAACAAACATTTTCCTCGTCACCGGAAAATAGTTGTGAGATGAAGACAGAACATGCGAATCCTTCAAGCAGTGTTTTCGAAAGAGGAAGCAGCGCTTCATTCTCTTCTGGCAACGATGAAGTGCCGGAAAAAAGAACGGTTCTTCGTGAGAACGCCCCTTCTCAAGTGGCCGCTGGGGAAGGTGAAGAGGCCAGCGAAGTAGGCAAACAGGGAGATGGAGGAGGTGTGCAAGGGTCATGCAGCGATATCTTCCCACGTCAAAGTCCCTGCTTACCAGCCGAGAACCGTGGTGGGGCCGTTGCTAGCCTCGATAGGAGAGATGGCAGTCAAGAGGCTCTCAGAGATGAAATTGCAACTGCGGCCAATCTCAGAAATGGATGGAAGACAACAGACATGGATACTGGAGGCGGTACAATATCTCTTTCCACGAGCGAACAGCTTTCAGCTGACTTGCTTCCTACCATGAAGACCAACTTGGTCCCTCGTGACCTACCAGCAGATCCGGAAAGTCATAAAGTGGGCAGTAATGCGCCTGTAAACCCTGCACAAGATCAGCTCATTCTACCTACAGCGACAGCTGGTGCGAAAGCCAAAGCGAAAAAGCAGCCAACTGTAAAGAACCCGCCACCCCGTTTGGCACATGTTGCTCAGAAGGCCATGGCTCGTTCAAAAATATCGAGACCGCTCGGGCAAGCACAATGGCAAGCTCCAGGCATGCCTGGAGAGGTACCAGCTGCTAGAGACCCGCAGAGGGTAGCAAAGACTCAACATCCCAGGCACAGCAGCGTCGTTGCTGCAGATACGGTGAAATGCCAGCCCCCTGAGTCAGATGACAATGCAGCTGCTATGCCTCTGGAGAAAGGCTCCGACATTTCGGCCTCCAAAGCTCAAGGCTCTCCCGTCAAGCTATCATCACAATCCGATGAAGAACCAACCACGGTCGCTGCTGCACAACTGCCAGTCGACACTCCACCACGCGGACCTCGTAGTAATTTTCAGAAGAAACAACCCCTAATGCAGTCTAGGCTAGTCGCTTCTCGCGCTTTTTCGTCAAGGCTTTTTAACGGCCCGAAAAATGGACTGCGAAGACCATCAGCTGCTTCTCTACCGGGAAGACGTGGGACCACCCTTGGGGTGGACCCAACTCCCCAACCCACTGCAGACCCTGAGCAGCTGACTCAAGAGGCTTTGGATCTCTTGTCTGAACCGCAGATGCTCGCTGAGATGGCAACTCTTTGTGTTCGGCTCTCAGACCTATTTTGTTGTAGGTCAGCAACTTCGTCTGTCGAGCAACCATCCGGAGGTCAGGCCGCAATGGAGAGACCGTCAGAGTTCGAGCAGGAGCCTACATAACGACTGCAAAGACCGTTGGATGGGCGCTTGACGAAGTCGGGTTCACAACTGGTGCGCAGATATGAATCTTTCCTTTTTCCTTCGCAACAGCTTTTGTCCCCTTTTTGTTTTACTTTGTTTGTGATGTAGTGGCTGAATCACTTGCTCTACTCTGTTTTATAACCAAAGGCTCTGCACAGAAAAATTCCAAGCTGCTTTGTATTTGCCGTAAACCTTAACTTTTATCTTGGTGGGGTCGCCACCACCGAAACGTGACTTCAAGGATTGCAACTATCTCATAAATCATGTGTGAGTTTGTCTCCTTTCTATTCTTGCTCACACTGACAGCAGCTGTAGCCACTTGAGCCCGTTACATCACTCCTATAGCTCCCAAGTATCAAGCATCGCTCTCCCATTTAGAGACATGGCACTTCATCACCTGTGAGAGAAGCCCAGTGGTATCATCACCAGATGAAAATAAAGGATGAATAGGAAACAGTGAGAAACGATGAAAATATTCCTAAAAGATTGAGATCGCTGCTGAAAATGGATTGGTTTGAGAACTTTCGAAATGGTAAAGCAGTCTGCTCCCCAAAATGTTAATTAGGCATTCTCTGAAAAAAGAATATTGGCAACATTCGGCTAACCAGAGTAAAGGGTGCATGGCCTGTGGGATGTACCCATTAGCTCTCTATAGTGTCAAAAACAACATAGTTGTGCTCTCCTGCGGCATCGCCCATGGTGTCCATCGGTCCCTTGGTCTCTCTGCGGTTCTTCCTGTGAACAAGCCGCACCATCGAAAAGCAGTCATGTGCAGTTCCGCAAGAAGACAGCAATTCGCAGCAAACTTATCACGAGAGCCTAAAGTTTTTCTGGCTGTGCAGTACTCAATTTGATAGTGCTGCACGAGTCAACTCGCTCGCAAGTATGATGCTTCGATTTCCTATCAAGTCAGCGCTGAAATAAAGGCAGGAATATTCAAGGAGAATTATGCACACGATGAAATTCGCACAAGGCTTTTTTGTAGCCACCGAGGATCTGCTGTAGCACTTTGCACCACTTGTATTCCTGCGTGGCTTGCGGAAGAGTCTGCAGTGCCTCCTGACCACTGGTGGCCTGCACAGAAATGGCAAGCAAAAGTCCAAAAAAAATTACTGACGAAGAGAAGTCCAATGGCGAGCGCAAGGGCGGGTGGGTACTGTTGGAAGTCGTGAAGGCAGTGTTTTAAGTTCGTACCTGTCACTGGGGGGATTGTAGTGGGCCGTAGAGCTCTAGGTGGAATCGAAACAGGCTCATTGATGCTTTCTACTCCGACCATGAGTTGGCAAGATCGTGCTCTTGGGAGAAGCTGGCCCGGGTCCTGTTGATTGTGCTGCTGTTGGTTTTTCCATTCTTGATGAGCTTGAAACGAGCTGACGAAGGCCTCTAGCTCATGAAGACGTTGCTCCTGATGATATAGACGACTTTCCTGAGTCTTTATCTTCCACTGTTGGTGTTGTATCTGATCACAGAGGGCACTTATGACTAGGTCCTTTGCAAATGTAGAGGTGTCTCCGCTCGTGTAAGGACTAGATGGGCGCTGTCGAATTTCTTGCGTTGCTTCAAGTTCAGCTGCGTTTGGTCCCGCCGGCAGCCGGGCGAGAGAAGCAGTTGCGCGGCTCTGCTCTGGCCAAGGCTGGTCCCCCGACACCCACTCTTTGTTACTGCGAATGCCCTCTGGAGCGCTCGAAGCGTAGGTAGCGGGATCGACAGTAGCGGACATCTCTGCACGCTGTTTAACAGGCTGTTGTGAAGTCGTGCTATCGATCTTTTCAGAGGATGGCGGATGACTACGAAGCCCACGAGGGGTGACGTGCCTCCGAAACAGGCGAGTCGGACTGCCTCGTCCTTTTGCCGTGGTTTGAAGGATGTACACAGCTTCAGACGCGCTTGCTCTCCTGTGGAAGTCCGACGGCATCGGCGAACTTCGCAAAGCCTCAACGCTCGCACTGCTCACAGTCTTCCTCGGGTACCAGCTTCCGGATCTGGCCATCTCCCTTTTCGGCACGTCTGTAGCAACACTCAGTAAAATCGCAGTACCTTCAGTCGCTTCCCGCTTTGTATTTTGGGAGAGGTTTTCCATTGCAAGGCCACTGAATGGCTGGTGCACGTCTGTGAAGTCTTGGTGAAACAAATCACGGGAGTGCTCTCCGGCGTTCTGGACGATTTCCTGGCTGCGGTTAGGTGTAAGACCCTCATTTCTCTCGCATTGAAGCTCCTTGGACGTGCTGGTTCCAGCATCACCATGGGGAGAGTAGAAGCTCGTCAGTCCAGTAACGTTACATGAGACGGAGTCTACGAGCGTGCTTCGGTGGCAGCTCTCCGAGTCTGTCATGTCCCCTGTCGATGAGTTAGCTGCTTTTCTTCTGTGTATAAAGCGAGCAGAAGTCCGCTGAGCAGTGCTCTCGCCAAAATCAACAATCCAAGGAAGGATGTGGATAGTACCGTGCTCGAGTACAATGCGGCTGGCCAAGGCTTCTGCCATGACAAGCAACGCAGTAGTCTGAATAGGCGCAGAAACGGTCTCTTTTAAAAGGAATTGTCCAAATGGCAGGGTAAGAACCGGGAAATGTGTATCTTAAATGGTGATTCAGCGCCGCTTTTGCCCTGAACAATTGTCAACCGACAGAACCATGGGGGGACGCTTTGAGGCTGCCGTACACTGAAAAACCGCGGAAACGTCCGCCGTTTATTCACAAGGAAAATCAATGACATCAGCATGTTTATTACCGTAGAAGGCGTCGTCGGTTCGTCGTCCCCGGGGCCCAGAACACCAACATGCCACGAATAGCGAGACGACGGTCACTGTGTCGCAGACGAAAGCAAGTCACAGTGTGATCTTCTTGTTACTTTTTGAAACAAAATAATTTTCATGAGAACAAATACAGTTCTTCCTCTTGAAGGCCCGTACTATTGCTGTTCTGTAATTCAAGCGTCGCTGTACTCGTTGAAACACGAGCACGTCTTGCAACCAGGGTTGGGCTGGACACATATTCTAATATTATTTCGGTACACCTAGGTTTCCTTCTTCTTTACTTTATTGACCAGAATATTTTTAACGTAACTGATTGTTGACTTGTTGCCTAGGTACAGTAACTGCCACTGCTGTCACACGTCGTCTCGCTCCCAGCAAACAGTTGCAACTAATCATCCGACGTCACTTTCACTACCCTCCCTTTCTTGAAAGCGTTTCTGGTAAGTTCCGAAACACAATAATTTTTATTCTCATTCACACCTTGTTTACTCTAAATGGAGATCTGCAGTCAACAGGTTACGCAGAAGGGAAACTGCTTTTTGCACCAAGTTGCCCAGCCCCATCGCCAATAAGTTTTCTTCTCAAGAAACCTGGGATATTCCCTCAGAAAGCGTTTCATTTTTGGAGTCTGAAGACATCCTTTTGTAGCTATCGCGTCCCGAAGCTTTTTCCTGCAGACCCTGAGGACATTCATGTGTATGCCGTCGAAACACAGCAAACCTTGCATGAACAAACACAGGCAATCCACGGTTTGCCCATCAATTCTGCAATTATTTGATAGGTGAGCTTCCAAAATTTTCTACTTTTGAGTCAACCGCTGAACATAGAGCAGGTAGTTGGTGGTTGCGACGCCACTGGGAGCATTCGCCAGATCCTTCAAATGTAAAGTTGTCCAAACCACGTCTTCTGCCTACGGTGGCGTCGGCGCCTAGCCATAAATAAGCACAGCAGATCTTTCTGCGGTTTAGCTACGGGAGGAGACGTGGCCATCCCTGAAGGAAGACAGCGAGCAGGTGTAAACGTGGGAATGACCGGGATACAGAATATGAGTAGTCAGCTGTCTCCCTCAACTGGAATGGAATTCGACGCCTCTATTTACGAAGGGCCCCAGATGAAGGCTGATGAAGTCATTGCCATGAGAACCCTTTTTGAAGCTTGTGACACAGATGGCTCCGGTTCCATACCGCTTAAAGAGCTGAAGAGCCGACTTGTGGTAAAATGCCGCAACAGCTACACCTTTTGTACCTTGAAAATCGAAGCTGCGGGGACCCACAATATAGCTGCTAGCTGCCATGCACCTCCGTTGCCACACCCTTGACCCCATCCCCACGAAAGATGTGCACACAACTTTACTGTAATGATTCATCTTTTTAGGCGGCTGGGTTTGACGTTAGAGGGAGCGCACTGTCTGAAGTCCTCTGCGTTGTAGACAGTAGCGGCAGGAGAGTAGTCACATTCCCAGAATTCATGCAGCTTGTGACTCCGTCGTCTGACCTTTCATCTCCTGAAGAGGTACTGAAGACTTTCAAGCAAATGGATTCAGACTCCACAGGCCGCATAACTCTTAGACACATATCCAGAGCACTGAAGGAAGCCAACTTCACGGGAAATATGGCTCAGGATCTGTTGAACCAGGCAGACGCTGACAATGATGGATGCATCTTGCTGCACGAGCTACAGGAAGTCTTCAGCAAGCAGACATACCCTTAAGAAGTTGCCGGCGCGATATTAAAACAAACATAATAAATTTGCATTCCAGTGCGTGCTTAGGAACAAGACAATGCCAGAAGATGTACTTTAAGTTTACGGTGTCTGTGGAAACGCGGCAACGCTCCTCAATTTGTTGGGTTTCCCCCAAAATTTTTTTAACGTTCCCCACAAGTTTCGTTAGCACACCACTACTACAAAAATCACAGCTCATAGCCTATGTGTTGTGTCACATCCTGCTTTCCGCGTTGCACAGCAGGGCTCAGCTGAAGACTCTGCTAAGACACACGTTACTGTAACTTCATTTATTTATATGCGAGGGTGCTTGTAAGAGTCAAATTTACCGTTCTCGTCGTGCTCAGAGCCATTAGCTCGCGTGGATCATTGTATGCATTCGTCTTCTGCCACTGGAGTTTTGCGTTAGCATCTAGGCTCGGTAAGAATAGGGCGAGATCTCCCTGAAAGTTCCACAACCAACGGAAGCTTGGTTGCGCACCACGGCCACATTAACAGCGAAATTTGGGTAGACGCTGACGAGGCAATTAAGCGAAGACAGCAGCTTTTTATTGAGTGCGACAATGGGGAACGATAAAAAAAACAAACTCGTTCACACTACTTCTAGCTCCCTGGTGTTTTGCCTCTGAGTCACTCATCACCAGTCGCCAGCTAATTGAAGTTAGTGAACTGAAAGGGGTAGTTAGCCCCACTGTCACGTCTTCCTGAATGTGCACATACAAATATTCATGTAGGGAAACCTATGACAGTAATTAGCGTAGTCCCATGCAATTGCGCTTTAAAAATGCACTAAGCAAAACGTGTAACTTTTCTGGTACATCATTTGATGCACTAGTTTCCCTAAAAAATGGAATCAATGCGTCACATTCGGTTAAATGCCAAGACAGTCTCCACTGACCGCGTTGCTTTATGGTGCCGATAAGATTGTACTTTCACAGCGACTCCAATACAAACTTTGTGACGATAGAAAGCTGCTGCATACCCTCACTGGCTACTGTGCACGTCCTGCGTAGAATTATGGCCACTCTTGCTGTGGATTAATAGTAAGTGTCGCCAGTACGTTTCTTTCTCAACAAAGAGAAGCAGTGGTAGAGGAGTTGCTGTACTAGCGCTATGATTTTTCTCTACTCCGGCGAATTAATTCGTCGCCAGTGTGCTGCACAATTCCACTTGCATCTATTTTGGCTCTGGCATATACATAAGTTTGCAATTTATTTGGCAATTCAATATTAGTGAAAGTTATGAGCGTCAAAAAATTGGTATAAAGCAAGCAGCTACTGTCAATGTAGCGCTAATGAATTCTTAAGCTTATGTACACCAATCCCATACCGTGAATGTAAAACAACTAGCTCGTATGATCCCTTATGGCACCGCATAAGTTGACGAGAGATCATGAACGGGTATTTTGATGATAGCTTTGTCCGTCTTGATAGGTGTGTGCGACTTTGGAGCACAATATCCTGGGAACTGGACCCCCGTTTTCACGGTTCTAGCGCTAGAGCTAAGCTTCGTCTAGCGTCAGCTTGACGGTTTTTCATCTCCGTATTTCAGTTATTCATGTAACGAAGCCAAAGTACACTGGAGCGTTGGGTGCAACGGAAACGGCTCGCTGGACGGCTGGAGGTGCCAGTTAAACTAGGCTGCAGTCACTTCAGTCAATCACTGCTAAGCAAAAGCCGTTACAAAGGCGGCATTAGGACCGTTTGATGTCCAAAAGGAAACAAAGACTGCTATCAAAGCCGCAGTCTAGGGAAAAGTTCTCCCCACCCGTGTAAGAGGGGCGGTGCTGCTGCTGACCTGGGGAGCATTGCGGTAATATTCGGGGAAAAAACAAGGCGGCTCCAGTACAGGCAAGAGCCGTTAAAGGTATAAGGATTTGCCCCCACTTAATCGAAATGCCCAGAACAAGCTCTACAGCATCTTGAGAGCGAAGAAACGCTGCATTTCGGCAGCAAGCATTTAAGATGACAAGCTAAAGGCTGTCAGCAGCGGGTGCATGCTGTGACTGTAGGAGGCTCATTCGCATACGCAGAAACAAGGCTGTGTCTTCTATATTGAGCTCTGCCGCCACTGTCTTGCAATCGATGCAGACTACACAGTGTATCTAGAAGAGGAGACATCCAGCATGAGAAGGGGAGGTGTCACCTTCAATTGGTCGCATAAGGAGAGTACCTGGGTCACCTAAAACTGGCATGCTAAGTGGCCAGAGACGGTTAGCTGCTTACTCGTCAACTGTTTCTTGAACAGCCAGAAAAATTGCGGCTTTTGTGGCTTTTAGGACCTTGGAAAGCGCTTGTTTCCTTGGTTCCCGTTCGGAAAAAATTTTCGGCAATCTCGCAGTAGATTCCACGTCTCGGCAGCTCTGCCTTGACTCAGCTCAATTTTATTAAATTATACGCTCTAAATAAACGCACTACTCCGAGCTGGATCATTCGATTGGATTTCCTTCATATGTATACAATTACAGGCAACTTTTATCATCCAGTGGATGCCTCCAGTCTTCGCAGTATTCAGTGGTGTAGGCCGTGGAAAGATCTCTGCGGCAATAGCCTTATAAATCCTTTAAACAAAATGGGAATCTTCGCATGATAATAGCTAACTGGGAAACCTGTGACACTCGGCAAAGTCAACCATCAAGTGAGCGATGCATTATATAGGCGTAAAATGTTCAAAGAGTACACAGTACAAACCTAATACGATATTAGTAAATGGACGTTTTGTGAAACTTGTCGCTCTTTCTGATGCCTGGAGCATACGCCACCACTAAGGCCACGCAGGACTACCAGTAGCTCTTGCTGTGGAGCAGAACACCTGTACTATATTTCAGACTGAGCGAACCGGCGGGTTCGTGCTTCAAATCTAGCGCCGCAGCAACAGCCACGCATGAAATATCACTTTTCAGCGCAACGTAATCACTGGGATCCGGGACGTGTACAGTAAAATAATGTGACTCTATATTTGAGCGTTCAAAACGCTCTATTGTGCTGAGGGTAGCATTCAAATCCCATACCACTGTTTGTAAGGGAGGCAACAGGCTTGGCTAGGGTTGGTAAATCGGGCATTGTAAGCGTCGGACATTCTGGAGCTATCGAATCTTCGTATTATTCTGTAGCACTCCCCGAACAACTCTCGCAGCCTCCACATTTGGGAGAACGGGCTTAGCGCATTGCAGCAAATGTCAGCAGATGCCTATCTCTCGTCATTTATCTTCACCGTCATGCCGAGAAAAGTCGGTCGTCACGATTTCTCCTTCAAATTCGCCTGATACCCATTTTGTAGTGCGCATCACTGCAACGCAGTGCATAAATGCCCATCAGGGCTATAATTCAGAATGTGTGATTTGAAGTAATTAGCTTAAGCAATACAAATCCAAAGGGATTTAACCTCTGGTGACAATGCCCGGTGTACTCTGCAGTTACACTCATGCCTTTGGGCCGGTAAGCAGAACAGAAGCTGCAGTGCGATGCACGTCCAGGTGGTGAAGGAAGAACATTGGTGGAAAATAAATGTACCCTTGAAACGAAGGAAACGCAATAATGCTTTTCGGGCCATTCTTAAACCTTAGTAGTGTCTTTAATTATCAATAATAAGTATGAGCCTATGTTTCTACACTAGGGGAAGCACGTAGAAGCGGAGCTGAGCCCAGTTCACTACAGTTTAACCCCCCAAAGCAGGCTTCAATGGCTCGAGCCTAAAAGATGATCAGTTTAATCATTTCAACTAAAGCTGCGCCTTGGCCTGGAGAATCTTGCAGCGGCGCACAGGTCGCCGCAACTCTAAGCTGAGGATCAGGCTCAGGCCAGCCATGGCCCAGCGGCAGGGATGTCAGCATCTTCCTTTCAAAAGCTCATTGATCACTGCCAATGCTAAATCAAATATATACCCTTCCAATAGTCCCCGCTCTGTCTGAAGCGCTACATTTCCACTAATGTCCTTTACTCGCCGTGTCAAACCAGTGTCAATTTACGTCTAGTAGTGAGAGCTTTATGCCTTGCATAGGCTATTTGTTTTCCGAATTTACTGCAGCATTTCTATTACCTTGTTTATTTTCTGCATTCATGCGCCTGCTTTGTATTTACTAATTAAATTGCCACTAAGCCTACAGGTGTAAAACGTCTTGCCAACTCGCCGCTGGTCCTGTGCGTGGTTTTGATAGTTGTACATATGCCTTTTCTAACTCCATTTGCGGCTGTGATGAGAACGTCTCCTTCTACTCATCTCTTTACTCGCTAAGAGAACGCTCCCTCTACTAGTTCTGCGTAACTTATATCCTGTGCTTTTGGTGATGAGATATTTCATTCAGTTTCTTTCAAGCCATCAGTAGTCTCCTTGTGCCTTGAATATGCGTATAGCTTTGCCAACAAACCCTAGTTTTTCATGCGATCTGTGCGCTCTGCCAATGAAATTGAGCAACTCGATCAGAACAATGAGGCTCTTATGACTTTTTCCAGCTTTCAACGAGTAAAAGAGGGAAATACAGATCCAGGACAATCAAGAGGTTCTGAAGCCTAGTCTGATCGGGCAACTTTGCACCCTAAGTATGCTTATGCTTGTAAAATTGTGGGACATCTGGTATGCACTGCCAAGGAGAAAACGAGAGTCTTTTCGCGTAAATGGGGCAAACCCCCATTTAAGCAAGTAGGCACTGACGGAAATGGCTGGAGGTATCACACTTTGGGCGACGCCCAAAACCTGGATCAAAACTTCTGCATATTTATCTTAGCGTGAACAGAGCTCAAACGTTGCATAAATAGATCTGGGGTGATTCTGAGTGAGTAACTAGCTGTGTTTGAGGCTCGGCGGAGCTATGAAATGCCGAGTCTCCTTGATACACACTCTCGCTGAGGTCACTAGCTGCAGTGAGCTACGCCCAGCTTGGCTCTTCCGTATCCCTGCCGCCCTTGATGCACAGTATCATCCCTACTCACTATGCATACCATGAAGCATTAAAAGGATTCAAAAGGCATCACTTCAGGCCCAATTACCGGAGGCATGCATCTGTCTTTCCTTATTCTTCTTCCTCCGTGCGCTCGTTGCGCAGTGCACCTCCAAGGCCCGTTAGAAAGCTCAGACTTTGAGTCTAGCAGCAGGGTACAAAGGGTCTGATTGCCCAACTACCAAGGCACTTTGCACGTCAATCCCTTTTATTTCACTGAATCAATCTAAACTATCTGAATCATATGACCATGAAGCCCACATCGTGGCTGTTGTGTACAGTTGCACAAAACAACTTGGGCTGTATTTGGTAGTGTGCATAGCCACGAAGAGCTTCCATATAGAAACGAACGCCACATGTATCACAGGAGACATTCACTAAGGCGCTCAGATACTCAGCAGTAGTCAGGCTTGAGATTATCCAGCTGAATATACTGCGTTTAAGGTCACTGGAAAACCCGTTCGTAACGGGGGAGAAAAAGGCCAAAAATTTTTAAATACCACTAAGGAACCTACAAAGTTCATACGATAAACTGGATGAAGAGGGCATTCTAGGTTATAGCTTCAAGATAGGACTTCATCAAACGACACTACGCAGACTGAAGCCCATTTTACTGATAGCCACTGAGCCTAAAGGCGAGAGACGACGCATAATTAAGTGAAAACCAACTTGTGGAGACTCAGAAAAACATCAAAACCGCTTAAGAGGAGCGCAGCATCTGCACTAGCAAATGGATAAGATTATAGTACGAAACCCGCAGAATATCCAAGACGAGCCCCGCTTTGAAGGAGAAAATTTTAAAGGTAGTATTGGGAGCCGCCCCAAGTCCTACTCAGAGTAGTCACATATGGCCTAGGTCTTTTTTATATCCATGGAATTTTCTGACTCCTCTTGCAAATCAAATCTTTCCAGCAATCACCGACATGCGGCTCCCGATAGAGCGTTCCACAAAATCATGCTTCCTAGAATTGACGGCTCCTGGAAGAGTCCGGTGTGTGCGACTGATGTTGAAAGCAGTTCTGGCAGGCAAAACTATCAGGTATCCACCAAATTTGCATGGGTATGAAGTGACCAAAACCCAGTGTAAAACTCTGCAGGCCTGCCAGCATCTGCGGCGAGAGTGACCGGCAGGGAGTGACCGGGCCTATTCTGTGCCATCATTAACCCCGGTGTTGTTCGCTATAATACTAAGATATCAATCACAGTACCTCACTTAAAATTAACGTTTCACTATTTTACAGCGAAATAGAGACTATAAGCCGCGTTAATATTCAACTGGTGATTGGTACATGTCGTTTGTGGGGCTGAGCAGTATGGGCTAGATCGCTCTTGATTTGATGGCCCGCTGTGCACCGTCAAGCAGCAATACAAAAGTCTCTCTGTTGTCGATTAATACTTTCTTTCAAAGCGAACTTTCGACTGGTTTAAAAGTCGGTCATATTTGCGACGGCAATTCCGGCCAATCCCGCTGTTGAGTTGTGCGCTGCGCAGTCGACGCTGTGTACAACTGAATGCCATTTGTGTCTGCGACTGAGTGTAGCTACAAGCATGAGTTGAGACTGAGAGGGCTAGCACATTAGCTGTGGCTCTCGTAGGCGAAGCTTCGCGGTGCGACTCGAGGGGCTCGACTCGCGAGGGCGCAGAAGGCCGTCCCTTTTGTGTGTATGTTACTATTGGCAACTCCAAACAACACTCCAATACAACTATTTGTGATAGGAGTGTCGCGGAGGTCAACACCACTCCGTCATCGCGGCAGCTAGGGGAGGCGGCTTCAGTTGGAACTATGCAGCAGGAGAAATCACTACCACTCTTGGAGGATGCTGGGGCCACTGAGGTCACCAATTTCGCAACACGGCCGCCGGCCTGCTGTGCAGGAGGCGGCGGTGTTCCTTACAGGGATCTCCAGAAAGCGCGCATGGCCTTCCGAACACGAGACATTGATGCTACGAGGCAAGCAGAGGGCTCTCAACTCTGGCGAGGGGGCTTGTCCCACTACCCTACGCCTTTTAATTTCGCGTAGTATGGCTCAGCTAATGGGAGATGAGGAAAGAAGGGATGTTTACTCTGCCACAACTAACGCTTTGCAAACGCGGTTCTATGCTATGTATATCAGGGCTGCTCATCAGCACAACCACCACCACAGCCAAAATCCCGGCGACTACGGCGAACTCTCTGGCGTTCACACGGAGGCACATAAGAAAACGTCTTCAGACTACTTGAAAGCCATTGTATTTGGTGGTCTTGATGGTGAGTTTCATGGACGCCACTGACGCTATTTCACGCCTCCGTTCTTCGGTGTCCTGGCATGAAGCCGCTACACGCCCTATGTTGGCCGGATAGACGTCAGAGTTGTTTTTTAAGAGAATATGACTGCAGGCATTGTCACGATATTCGCTATTGTTGCTGGATGCGTTGGCGCCAATCTACATCCGTCGAAAGTCGTTATCATTGGCATTGGAAATCTTCTGGCGGACGCGATTAGTATGGGTTTCGGAGAGTTCGTGAGCTCTGCAGCAGAAGACGATTTTGTCAAGAGCGAAAGGGACAGAGAGGAATGGTAGGCTGCTAAGTCTCACAGCAACCGCGTACAAATGGGAGCCCTGAGATGCTAGAGCGTTCTTCGCACATTGGCGTTCGCAGTCGTGCAGCTGTTCATGCCAGTGATTCTGCTGTAATTACGCGTTGCCACAGGGAAATAGAAAACTGTCCCGATGAGGAAAAGCAAGAAATGATTGAGATTTATAGAGACCGCTATGGCTTTACAGAGGAAGATGCGGATTCCCTCGTAAATATCACATTCAAGTACAGGGAGTTCTTCGTCCGGCATATGATGGTGGAAGAATTGGGACTCATGGCAACAGAGGGCCCCAGTCCCCTACGAAGAGGTTAGGTCACGAGTGATTGCCATTCTCCAGGTCGTGCTGTTTCCGAAACCATTGAAGTCGTGCTTAAAGGGTGCTGCCTGTGAAACAAAATAGACACATGTAGTTGCAGTCATCTACAATGTGCCATCTTTTGAGAGTCGTCACCCATCTTCACGCATAGAATGCTACAAAAGCGAAGTGAGCTTAGCTTGCTGACGTACATTTGTGTGAATTATGGTCCACAGGCGCGGTCATGTTCGCTTCCTTTTCGATCTTCGGGTTACTTCCACTGGCCGGCTTCGTTGCTTGGCTGACGCTGTCAGGAACGAGCACAGATGGCCACTTGGCATTTGCCATGGCGTGCGTTGTGTCTGGCATCGCGCTGTTCATTCTTGGATTCTTCAAGGCGAGCACTAAGTTTTAATGAAATGTTTCGCAGCGTATCAGGGATAGTAGAGCATAAAGCTGTCTCTACCACGACGCCGATTTCAAACGGTCACAGCACCCGCTGTGTTAGTGCACGGCTCCGCTGCAGCAGCCGTACGATGCTAAGCATGCCTGTTTTGTGCATATGGAGCTTTGCAGGGCCGCTTCGTCAACCAGAGTTCATTAAAGTCAGGGCTTCTGATGATCATTAATGGAACCTGCGCGGGCACCGTGGCATATACTGTTGGGGCAGCTTTAGAAGTGAGCTAAGTAGAAATCACCTGTAGGCTCGCATCATTTGTATTGGCTGCGCTTCTTGCTGAACGTTGCTGCACACCGAAGTGCTTTCCAGTTGCCATCTGTGGTCCTTGATGGCACGGATTTGAGTCCCAAATTCCTTCGCCTGCCTATTTTATTCGTGAGGGGTTTTCGCAGGGTGTTGTTGCTGGAACGTTATAGGAAGCGTTATAATCCAGCTATACTGGGTGGTGAACATACCACCTGACTCGACGGAGCGGCCTGTATAATTGACAATGCTGGCCGTCTCGTTAAACATGGCTGAGACTGCGCTGCTTGCTTTTTTGTGGGCATCTAGCTCTCCGCGGGCGTGTATTGCCTCAAAATGTACCAAGAGGCTTCATGGCCGGCTGAGAGCGGAAATCCACCTACATGAGATATCGGGGACGACGAATGTCACCAGAATCTCCCTATAGTGCGCAGTTGCACAGCAGCTTGCTTCCTTTTAAGAGCAAAGAAGCTGTGTGCACAAAATTCTGCTTGTTCTAATCAATTATGCTGGAAGTATCTCTAGTTTCGTAAGTAATTAGGCATAATTCGCCAAATCGACAGAATACATAATTGGTTACATAGAATTGGCCTCACTGCCGGAGAAGCTAGTGGGGCTCTCCACGGGCTTTCTCCAGAGTGTATGCAAAGCTCGTCGCTAAACAACAGCCACATCTCCACGGGTAGTTGGTTCCCTTATCTCAAGACAAGTGTGTATGGTATGCACGCATGCTTGAATGACCAATATCTAGAATGTCAGAAGTAAAAAACGAATTTCCCAGTCGAAGCGTATTACAGCCTTTCTTTGCTGATACGCCCCACTAATACGCTTCAGCGGGTGTGCAGTCTCCACCAGCGACTTCAAACACAAGTTGTGGTGAGGCAGTCTACTGGTGGAGGCTGTGTGGAACAAACGTGATTTTGGTACACGGCGGAAACTCCACCCATACTCCAGCGTGATGCTGAATGCGTATCAACGGATGCACGACAGCGAAGCTCACCCACCCCAGGTGCTTGCCACGGTGCATGCAGGACTCGCTTCAGCGAGCATTGGCACTGCGAAGACTGAGAATGCGAATAAACACCCGCTCCGTCGCAAAAGCTTACCCTAGATGAAATTACTCCAAGGAAAATACCGTCGCACCAAGCGTGTACCCACGCCTTACGATTTCTCTGGCAAGCCACACGCAGAACATTGCAGCTCTAGAGTGAAGAGTTCCTCTAGCTCAATACAACACCGGCTCGAGGAGACCGCAAAAGAGCGTATCCGAGTTTAAGTTGATATATGCTATTTGGGTTTGCATTACTACGACGTATGCACTCTCTGCGGAGCCGCCTCACTGTCGTCCGACGCTCTACTGATAAAGGACATCTGCTGGCTCTGCGGCAGCCTAGATTGGATATCTAAGCTCCGATCAAGGCGCCTCGGCTGCTGCGAAACACCCTCCGCTTCCGAGGGTCCTACTCCGCCTTCAGGAGGGAAAGACGCCATATATGGCAGCCTTTGTTTCTTGTATTCGAGCACGAGGCTTTTGACGCTTGCCGATGGCTCTTTTGAGCGCGCCAAGTGTTCGCGAAATAGTGCGGGCATCAGTGTGAATAGAGACATTCGGCGCCAGGGCACAAACGGGTGGCTTGGAAATGCTAGAGTAGACATGTAGTCCTCCGACACCGGCCTCACCCAGTCGCGGACCTATATCGCGCACCACTCGCATTCACTCAAATCCACCCTGCCAATATACATTGACCGCGTTGGCTCGCTTGGTGGAAAGCACGACTGTAGACACGAGGTAAGCGCTCCATCAACGCATGAGAAATGCAAACGAGCAGGAAATGTGCAGCGGAATGCAGCGAAGTAAGTGTATCATCCTACATACTAACCTTCGGAATAAGTGGCGTTAGTATGAGGAAAGCAGCTGCCATCGCCAGCAAAGCTGCACCCAAATTCCTCATACTGGGCGACCGCTTCATCGACTCCCACTGCAAGTCAAAACGGTGCGATGCTGCAGAGCGAACAACACCAAAACGAAAGCGCAACGAAAAATGCGTTGCAGTAAACACGCACTTCAAGGTGCGGTAAAATCTGCGTTATTGTAACCCAACTACATGGTTAACGGTGACGCTTTGAAGCACAGATCGTGCTCATATTGTGGCCAACTGTTCTCCTACGCGGAACGATCTCCTGAGCTGCCCGAAGCAGTAATTTGCTTCTTACCGTCAGAAATCGACACAAGCATGACAAAAGGTACCAAGTGCTTGATGCATACACACCAGTACGTTGACGGGCGGAAGATAAAGAACGGCCTCGTCAAACAGCCACAAAATAGCGTGGGGAGGATACCAATGACGGAGGTGCCAGCCATTTTGTGTTGCGGGAAAAATAGAGTGACTCGCGAGATTTCGTTGCACAGATCTCGCACTCCACCCAAATACAACGCCAGGAAGCGCTCCTAAAAGCACAGGAAGAGCATATTTGCAAACAACATACGCATAAAGCGTGTAGGTTGTAAAGCTCGCGGAAACTGTCGATGGGACACGGCATTGAGAGATCTGCGGTGATCGATTCAAAATGTGAGGAGGGGTAACAGAAACAAAAGCAATACTAATTTGGTTGAAACTCTAGTGAAGAAGTACCTTGAAGGTTTTCGCCTGTGCGTCTGGGTCCCTTATAAATAAGGCCACACCGACGGCAATTACAGCGTTGACGAATACCATAACCCAGATCGGTAGAAAGATGCCATCTTGGCAACAGAATACTGCAATGATGTAGCAGGCTCCTACAATGAAGCACAGCCCCCCAAAAAGAATACAGGCTGCGAAACAGCAAATCCACAAGAAGGACCTTAAATCTTAGGCATGGAAAAGGTAGCACTGTGCAGCACCTATATTGCTTGACCTTGAACTGCCTAGCAAGCAACCACGGTGTGCTTTTCTAATCCCAACTCACCCTTAAGACCCACAATCCTTGCTTGTCGCTGGAAACCCATCACCCATCCCACATAGAAAGTTGTGCAGAAAACAGACATCGGAACCAGCAGCCACTCTATGATATAACAAGCATACTCAAGCCTCTGCATTCCAAAGAAAGAAACAGAAACGCAAAGCTCAACGCATTACTGAAGAAGCTGCTCTAATGCCCTCGTTTCAGGCGGAATAACCGACTGTAGGGCCCTCAACTGGGAAGCGCGGCCAATTTGGAATAGTAACTGGCACTCTTACAACTTGTTGGTTGTTTGCACAGAATGGTAGAGAGATACAATAGCAGATGATAACAATCACCGTGCTCGTGAGCCTTCGCCACGAATGGTTGATTACGCGAGATTCCTACAGAAGTCGCACAGTCAGGTGCAGATCTTGTTTGGTGAATTAACTTGCGTCAGATGTGACAGTCTAAATCACCGAGAGCCTTGTCAAGTCTTTGGACTGAAGAACACATGCATAATAATAGGACTGTTTGAATGAGACATACCAGAACGGCGTTGAAGACGGAATGAATCGCAATAGCCGCAACTTGCGTATTTATTAAGAAAACGCCTCCGTAGAAGAACAGGCCGAAAAGCTGCAGACAAAGAGCTCGAAATCAAGTCAGAAAACACTTTAGCGACCACGTATCTAACGTCCAGGCCTTCAGTTGCGAGCTGCTGGAATAAGCAGCAATGTGAGGCGGCAACTAGCGCGTGGCCTACTATGCCTAGAGCCACACTGGAAACGAGGGATTGGGAAAACTACTCAAGCGACAGCCAGCTGTGTCCAACATACGTAGGGAGAGGACACTTTTTCAAAGGCAGCAGGAAAAACGACGAAGTAAGCGGGGGCTGTGCCTGTTTTCCTTATGATGTCGGCAAGGGGAATGTCGGTAACTGCCTGTATGGCACACAAGCCTGAAGTTGTCCCGTTATCTATGAACGTGATGATCCATCGCTGAAAGGTGCGGCCCCCTGCAATCCCGGTACTGCATAACTTGTTAACCAGATATGCTGATACTGCACTGCAGTGGTTTAGGGACGTAGAATGTACTTGAAGGTTTCCGACAATCGACAGAAGAGACACAAAGGGAACCAGTGCCATGAGGAACTCCACAATGCACGTGAATACACCACTTGGGTATGTGTTGAAGCCAATCCTGTAGCACCCGAATGCTCGCATTGTAAGAATAGCTCCATAATAGATCGTTCTGAAAAAAAAGCGTGAGAAGCACTCTGCTGCAGCTGAAAAAGCTGCTACGGGCCCAGAAAGAAGCGGCTTACTTTGTATAACTCGAGACTGTGCCTAGAATGCAGCAGCCCAAACAGAGATCCTGGCATATGTAACGAACAAGCGAAGCGGAATATGCTGCATTAAAGAACCCTTGGATTAGCGGCCGCCAGTCGAAAGTCGCCGAAATGGCCGATGCAACATGCACGCTGCCGTCAGTCCCAACAATAAACGATACAACGGCCAATGTGGCGCAAAGGACAATGGCTACGATCATCAACAGTGCAGAAGCTGAGGGCAAAAAAGGAACAGCATGCCATCTCTATATAAGAGTTTGGGCAAAGAAATTGGAGCTCCGCGGAACTCTGTCCGTCATGCAGCATTCACTACTAGTTGGATGCACCAGTGCGCAAGCTGGGAGACTCACGGAATCCCGCCTTGAACAATCCCCTCCACATGTATCCCAGGATATAGAGCCACACAAATGCTAAAGCCGCCAGCGCTTTGGGTCGCAGCGCATCAGGATCCAGGCTTGTGTTAATCGTTGCTGGCTGCAATTCCTCTAAATAGTGCAACGTCGCCTGCACGCAGCGTCAAGCATAAGTTACTGTTTCCGGCGTTAAATCCATTATAGTTTGGTGGCACCAAAAGCCACAAGCAATTTTTCTCGTTTCAATTGAAAGAATATAACGCTACGCCAGGATTTTACCGCGCCAGCTTGCAAGTCCCCAGGCACACTGTCAATAAATGCAAGGCTGGTTGTCAGTTCGTTTGCTGTCCACAAACGCAGCCTTACCTTGCCCGTAGGAGAGGCAATGCAGACTTCGGTGGCTGGGACATAAGAGCAGAGAACCCCATGGCCTGCTGCGTTGCACTCCGCTTTGTTTCCATGGAAACCGTTACAGAGTTCCATGTCGCTGACTGTGACCTGCCAAGGTTGAGGACGTGAAAAACTGGAGACGAAGTAAACCAACAACTGACCGCTCAAAACTGAGAACAACCAACCGTACTCCAAGCGTATGAGAGCTCAGCAAATGCTTCATCATTCAAAAACAGCGTAATCTGAACTATGCCAATGTGGAAAGTTTCACAGTACACAGTGCTGCAAACATGAGAGGCAAAACGTGGCATACATGCATTCGCTGCGTCCGCCAATCAGTACAAACTTACCAGCAGTAATGATGACAAACGATATTGATGTCAACACCTGCAAAAGCCCTAGCCCTACTAGCCAACGGTTCAGCTGCGTGTTTTGCTTGATAGCAGCGCCACGAAGGAGGTTTCCAAGTACAAGCTGACACAAGCACAGAACACACCTTCCGCGAGCTGTTTCGAACAACAATGGAAAAAGCATCCACAACAGAATGTGCTGTGCTGGAGAGGTCACGCCTGACCCACCTCAAGCTGAAGGGTTGGCAATCCAACGGTAAAGAGGAAAAGCAGGTATGGTAGAAAAAACATAGAGCTGCGCCAGATTTGTAACTGCTGCCAGTAAGTGGTGAAGTTTGAAGCCCCGACAACAGCCCCAAAAAGCGTTGAATAGACTAGAGTTGTCGAAGTATACCAGCCGCGTCTCCTCTGCCTCTGCAGCCAACTCTGCCACTGACTGAGCGTTTCACCCCCTTCTTGCGCTCCATAAATAGTGCCGGCTTGCCCTTCGGCGAGCTGCGCTGCTGGCAGGGCTGAATCTGCAACAGTTGGCTCTCTATGAGGTGACCATTCAGGCTCTGCATCCCCTCCGTCTGGCTTCGGCCTTGCCGAGGGGTCAAAGGATTGTGGATAGCGGTAATAGAAATCGCCTTCAGTCAGCAACACTCCATGCTTCTCTTGGTAGTCCAAAGCCTCGAGTTGTACACGTAGCAGTTCGTGTTCATCCATCTTGTTTTCCATGCGAACCTGAGAAATAACACCAGCAGAGCTATCCCCGGACTTTCGCAGGGAGGGGACGGTATAAGAATAAAATTAATGACTGATCCACCCGCTACTTGTAAAAGAAGTAACAGATTCAATTAGTTTCGGAGTCCAGCAACGCGGCATCAGCAAGACATGGACTCTATGGAGGAGAGCAAAGTGCCGAACAAGCGAAATAACACAGTAGGAGTGACACAAATTGAAGCTATACGACGAAGCGATAGCCGCTCGTTACCTTCTGAGTGAAAAGCGGGGAGTGCTTGAAAGCATGCGCCTCATTGTACATCTGTCGACGCAGTTCATGAGGCATGTCCGTTGCCGACGCTGCTACTGCCAGTTCTTTCGCCACTTCTTCCCCACCTAAGACACAAAGAAAAACCGTTGGCAAAGTCACCGCCACCTAAATTCTAGTGCAAAATGAGTCACGTGCGCAGCCCTGCCGAATCTCATGGACAGAAAGAAGAAAGGCAAATACGACGAAATGCCGTGAAGCGTTCTATGCAAATGAACGCATGAGTGAGATAGAAAAAGGAAGGTATACGTTTCAGCGAGGATTGTACACGGCAGAGAGTTGGCAGCAAGTGGCGTACCACTGCCTTCGCCTTGCTCTCCCGCCTGGACGGGGAGGGAGGCCACCTTCTCCAAATTACTGACGCCCACATCTCCAGCCGAGTGGCGGCTGAAACTTGTCCGGAGGCGTCGCATTTTCAGCATACAGCCAGCGCTCGCCTGGGCTCCCTTTCTGTGGCCTCGAGGCGGGAGCCCCCGGATCCTGCGCTCTCAGAGCTAAAGATGTCCTTGTGTACACCTTGATGTCAATACGCCAGAATACGAGACAAAGGTGAACAGAGGAAGCTGACTGGAGCAAAGGCAACACAGCCCTTCCCCAGGGCTGCGGAGTATGCTGGTGCAGATCACCGCTCCAACGCCAGAGTACTGAGGTGAAGTAGCTATTGTCGTTGTTTATGTCCTGACCCATCCGTCGCAGAAAGGAAGGCGCAGAGGCGCAACCAGCACAGACCCCGGCAAGCTGTTTCAAATGCAGCTGCAGGTGCTGCCGTCCCATGTAATTCTAGACCCAAAACGTCTTTCTATCACAGGCAGATGGTACTGGCGCGCTCGAAATGGAACGCTTAAATATTCTTTGCATCTTTGCCTTGATTACAGACGTACGCGATTCGGCGCCAATGCAGTATTGGCGGTGAAGGCTATGTTTTGTCAGTGTTTACGCATGCGTTTCTGGCCGATCATATACGGCTACAGATACTGCCATGCAAGCGGAGTAGCTGCGAGTGTAGACTTTTCAAATCCACCAAAAATGGCTGTTGGTCAGTCGCGTGGGATGCACAGATTACAACACCATCACAGCACGCGGTAATCCACAGCTGTTGAGGTGTCCGTACAATGAGATACCAGGCAGTGTTACACAATCCCTAAATAAGGTGCCGAGGCATGAAAGAGATGCCAGCCCGACCCCGTAAATATCCCACTGTACAGTCGCCTAGAGTGCATACTCAAGGAGCCGCCGTGGAAACCCTTTCGGCTCTTCCGCCACTCGGTGCCAGCCCTAGCACCCCAAGCATGCGCTGTTTATTTTGATGTGACAGTTTTCCACGAGCCGGCTAGATTCGCGTGGAAACTGGCCGCTTATGCGGAGGACGGTCATCCCAACCAAAGATTCAAAACGAGGCAAAGAAGCGGTCCAACCGTGACAAATCCTAAGGTCGCCCTTGTACCTGCAGAGATGAAAAAATGGGACGGGCAACAACATTATATCCTCAAGAAATTAAATTGCTTTCCTGCTTCATGTGTAGTAAGCTTGTGCTATGTCGCGGGACTGGGGCCCTGCCAGGGCTTTGGCGTTTGAGAGCGAATGAGGCACCGGGGCTTACGTTGCAGAAGAGATAAATCCACTAACTGCATCGCTGTATTCTTACAGAGGAGTAAATTTCGAAAGATGCAGTTGAACAGCCTAGATCCATGAGGTCCAGGAAACAGGTAGGAGGGCGCAAATATTGGAGAACGTTTGCCTGCCGTATGCTCTGTGTGGTCGTCTTGTTGAGTAATAGTCGAACTCTGTTTGCATATACCCGTTAGATTATTTGCTGTTTTGGCTACGTGATGCGCTTGCATGCTCCGCTGCATCTGATTTCCAAGCCGTATTCGGACAATCTGGCACACGGAGTCAACGTTGTAGCAACTATGATATTCTTATGGCTATAGACGCAGAGAGGGCCAACGAGCGCTACATCGACCAAACGCGGCGATCCTGGTGTCTGATTGAAGTGCCCTCGAGCGTATTCGCAGAGCAGTTGACGGTCAGTGTTCGGAAGTCTTAGTGGCTCCCAGAGTGTTCCATCCTGAACATTTGGTCATGGTGCAGTCGTAACGGGGCCTACTTCAGTTGAACTGTGTTTCGGTTGTCTTCTGCATGAGCATCAGTTTTACTCTAACCGCAGCTTCAGCCTCCGTTACCTTTCATGAATCCCTCACAGATGGGGTGAACTTCTTAGAGGGCCGTTGGCACGTTTTTATGGGAGGTGGAAGACAGAGCAAACACCTGCCGGCCGTATTTTGTGGCTCGAGGTGGCATTAATCAGCTGCAACCTTCGTAAGGGTGGTCGTACTCTACCCTAGCACGATATTCTACGAGTTCTGGGGAGGTTTGAAGGTTCTGCATTTTTCTCCGACTAGTTGCCGAGCTCTTCTATACCTGAAGCGATTCTCTGCACGCAAAAATATGGAACTACGGAAAGATCTCGAAGGGTGTTGGCGCGCGCTTTGATTCTGTGCACGTTTGCCTGCTTTTCGGGGGTAGCCGAGAGTTCTCTTCCCCACGACCCCACGGTGATCAACAAGCTCCTTGTCTCAGTGCCTCTAATATTTTGCTGAAAGGCTAATATTGTACACAAAGAACTCTCGGAGTGGCGTAAAAAATTTTTGGCAGCTCGTCCGCTGTGGGCGAGCTCGAAACACATGGAGCAGACAACTACAAGGAAGGAGACGAAAATACGGGCTCTTCTGTGACACTGTTGTACGTCAGCTTCGGTAATGAACAGAGCTGTGATGCGCCCCGTTGGGCGTTGCACAGCAGTGGGTAATCAGCCGCAGTGGCTGTTCAAAGAAGTGTGGACTCTGCAATTTCGGGAGGCCGGTGCCACTTTATCGGTTTAGGAGTGCCCGCGGAGCTCGCTGTATCCCTGCAGACAAAATGCGCAGGCTTTACTCCATCAATCAGGTGCTTCTGATGAATCTTCGTGGCCTGCGGATCCCAGCCGTAGCTAGGAATCTGCTTTTAGGCTTGTTCGTTCGGCCCTCCACCCTATGGAGCACTTACATTGTGGGTGGAGCTAGTAGATGGCCAGGACTGCACTTCGTACTTAAGCATACAGCTCAAAGGAAATGGAAGGAACCGGTGGTACTCCACGTCGTCCCAATAAAACAGCGTATAGTAGGCAAGTGCGCTGCTCAGCTGCACGTACACTCTACCTAGGCGGCAGTCCTGGATAAGGTTTTCATACATTTCATGAGACGTCACAACGTGATTTAGACTAATCAGGAGCTCCTTTGCTTTGAATCCGCTCCCCTGAGCGTCGGCCATTGGATGGAATGCCACGGACAACAGGTAAGGGCCACTATTTGCCCCTACTGAAGGTTGTTTTGGCTGCCCCTTTGGTTCCGTTGCTGGATTGTTAGCACTGCTGCTACCGTCATATGATTTGCCTGTTAACCCTTCCTCTGCGTCTGTTGAGCTGTCACTTAGCGCTCCTATAATCGGGCTTGTTGAACTGCTTTTGAGCATCCTGTCTCTAGGGCTGGAGCCGAAGAGACGTTGAAATACGGAAAGGAGCTTCCGATTCCCCGATACCCCGACAGGCACCGTGCTTGAACGCCAGTCATTTCCGCTTGCTATCCGTGAAGGCTCAAGAAACGGCATAGGAACTGGACCAGCAATATCGATCATCTCCTCTGGGTTGGACCGACCGCCTTTTGGTTTATTTTCCTTCAGCGTTGATGCTTGCCCAACCTACAGAAATAAGCATGATAAGTTTTGAAGGTCGCAGATGGGCTGCAGCGACAAAGCTTGTCTGGGAAGCTCTCCACTCACTTCGCCTCTGGACAAAGCAGTGCACGCCACGCAGATGACATAGTAGGGGAGCGCCGGTGCTCGTAGTTTTGCAGTCTGCTAGCTAGTACAGACACCATCCTCCAGCTTAACAACGACTCAGCTCACGTGGGCCGCAGACTTTCAGTTTACGTCGTGCCTGCCATGTTTGTCACTACTTTTTTCTCCTACCTGCCCTATACCCGAAATGGCATCTCCGCTAAGAGGCAGAAAGGAACCCCAGAACATCTTCGACGAAGCCCCACTTGCCAACGGGGGCAAATCGTGCAGTGCCTGATCAACACTGTGGTAGCCTGCTTCAATCGTCGATTCACAGGCACGATCAAGCGCTGGGGTAAGCAAAGCAAATGTGGGTCCGAGTGACTCAGAATGAGTTGGGCTTTCTGCTGCATCAGTAAAGTGTGGCATAACGGTAAGAAACTCATTTCTCGTTGGCACTATGGGAGCATTCGCGGAAACGTTGCCCTCACTCGTGCCCGAGAGGAAATTCCCACTTTCTAAAGGTGGAGTATCCTCAATGTTTGCTGGCTTGAATGGGGAGGAAACACTTGCATTTCCTCTCTCTGAAGCAAATGACTGTGGAGTGAAGCATGACTCTTCTGCTGTCCTGCCAGCTAGCGGGGCAGGAATATATTCCAATACAGACACGCCGGACTCTGTCCCGCCGAAGAAGCCTGTATGCGAGCCTTGGCAGCACAGGATATCGGAGTTCGGCAGAGCAAACCAACTGGTGCATTCCTGCTGCGAGACTTTTCAGCTACTGCGCTTTTACCTGGATAGTGCTGGCTCAACATATTTTTGAGGGTTCAACGAAATTTGTTCCTCTGTGTGGAGTGCTCACTTTCACTATGAAGTGGAAGCAATAGTTTAAAAGCACCTTTCAAAACTGCCACAGGCTCTTTGGCCTCTGGTTGAGTCTGAGTCACTTCCAGAACGAGAAACGCAGCGCTGCGTGACGTTGCTTCTTGAGTCTTCTCCACATTGCCTCGTGCAGGAGTCTCGTCAGTGTCGTGAGTAAGCTTTCTTTCATTTTTAATCAGGTGCTCCAAGGACTGAGTTGTACGAGAGGACAATGAAGACGCAAAGAAGTCTTCGGTTTCCCTGCCCGAATCTGCAAGCCGGCTGGCTAGCGGGAATGCAGCTATGATGGCAGCTCCTCTTGAAGGTCGCGGCCGCACGAGAGAGCACCCAATGGCGAAGCCAAGAGCAAAGGCCACAAATGCGAGGATGCACGCTAACCCAAGAAGCGTGGATAGGGAAACGACAGTCGACTCCTTGGCGCTCTCTGAGGACATGTAGTAGCCCAGCAGCGAGACATTCGATGGGAAGTCCCTCTAAGTCGCTGCTGCTGCTACACATAGACTCAGAGCATTGCTTTGCTAACACTAATATTGTAAAAATCAAAAGGGTTCTCGGCACTTAAGAGAGTCAATTGTTTGGTCGCACCTTCCTTCCCAGAGGGGCTTCTTGGCGTTTTTCCGTCTGTAGCTAGCAACACTGATGTCGACAGAACTGGATCTGTCAGTGCAACATAGAGCATGGCATTAGCTCTCTCCGGTGTTTGATTTTCTCTGCATGAGCCAAGTCTCCAGGGCCTCCAGTGTTTTGGGTACCTCCCAAAGGCGCAGCGGTTCTTGAGTTGTGCAGTTTTGCCGTAGGGAAGTTGCCTCGTGTCTGCACCCCGCAGCGAGAGGATGGTAGACTGCCGTGGAGAACCATCATTGTCGGGGCTTAGAGAGAGGTCTTCATATGTGGATCCGCTGGTATGTGAATACGTGCCAGAGTGGAGCGACTTGCACGAGCTGTCGCTGTAGCTGCTCTCCAGGTCGCTGGGATGATAAGAAGACCATGAAGCTGTTGGGAACGCTAGGGGTAGCGGCTGCATGCCACCACCTTCCTGCGTATCCTTTTCTTCCTTTCTTGAGCCATCGACGCAGTGTGTGCTGCCTGCTGCATCGTCTCTCCGATTTCGCGTTCCTACCGGCAGTTCCTTCCGCATGTCACTTTGTCTCCTGTAACAATGTTCCCGTTGGAAAGGCTCAGAATGATCTCTTGAAAGTTATGCGTTGAGCTGTTTGAAACAAAGTTTAGTTTCCCAGTGGTGTCCCAGGAGACGAGGTTCTCTGCAGGACCTACCAGACGCAGCCCGGTAATGTGTGTAAGGAGGAAAGTACCCCCACAAGCGCGTCAAGGAATCGGAAAATTAGAGCTTCTATTCTGATCACACTACAGTGAAAATTCAAACTGAGTCTGGGAAAGACAATATCCCCACATCTCTAGAGCGGCTCCGCTGGGGGTCCCCCGGGGACAGGAAGCGGCCAATGTCCCTTTTCTTGGGAACGAGAGGGGGAATTGTTTGTTCACATTATAAATATTTGAAAGTGAAACGCACACAAGTCAATGATTTCTTTGGTTTCGTCTCGATGCAGCTGACCTAAAAATCAAGAAGTCCGTGGGTCATCTAAAGGTAGCTCTAGGTACTTTTTGAGTACGCTTATTACGCGTCACTCCAACTCAACCTGTTTGCAGCCCTATTTTTTGTTTATAATTTTATTCGGCGTTGGATCCAATTAATAGACTTCTGCCACGTAAGACAAAGAGGTCCAAAACGTGGGTCACCACGAGCCAGCAAAAGCCACTAGCCTACTCAACTGTGCTCACCCCACACAGTGCCCTGACAACGGGATTGAACGAGAGAAAGTCCACGAATAAAGCTTTTGCCTATTCTGTGGTGCTCAAAGAGCGCTAGTAGCACTGTGCTTCTGTTTAGAGCATCACATTTTCAAGAATAGAGGGAGAGTAAGAGGATGACAGGCCTCTTTGCTGGGAGAACTTTCCCAGGAACATGATTACTTATCAATTGACTAACAAAGAGCTCAATAAAAAACGCAGCGAAGCGGAAGGATACGGTTCTGTTCATTAAGGCAGCATTTTCCGGGCCCACTCTAGCCATAGGCTCAAATGTGCAGCAAATTTTGCCGAATAAGGAAGCTCTGCGCCCCATTTCCAGGAAGAAACTCCTCTTTACCTCAAGTAATTTAGCATTATATTTTGACATCGGAGCATAATATGCCCCTGGCTGGAGAGCTGTGGTGTGTATGCTCTGACGCCGTAAGGCCAGGCGAGCGGTAAGAGGGTCCGAGAGTTGTCTTGTCGGCGGAATTGCCTAATCATCAAGCACATGAAGATATACAGGCATATTATGGTTTTCACATGTACGGGGACTTGGCATTGGATATGGGAGAGGCCAGACACTGAGTGTTTCACTGTCACTGACATGGTGTCACTTGTTCGGCGGTCATCTGGTTCTGATGCTCGTTGCCGCCAAAAAGCAAAGAAATAGCACATTGGCCTACTTCTATCGAGTTCAAAAAAGTGCGTCTACGAAGATTTGGGAATACAACGCTGCTGTGACTCTCCCGCTAGCTTTGGGGCAACACTGTGCTGGCTTGACGCTGTCTTGCCGCCTGTGTTTCAGCAAGCTTTGACCTGAAAACTTGCACGACGTATACTCTGTCGCTTTTCCCGCACAAGTCTTCTTTAAATTATTTTTGGAGTTGTCAAATACAGAAGGCTAAGTCCGTGCCCTCCCACAGCGGTCAAGGCTGGAGTTTGGCAGGGTCGACAAACCGATTATCGCATGAGAAGAATCTTTCCTGATTTTTCTCTAGCGTCTGCGTTTTGACAATGGGCAGCCCGTCCCAGAAATCTCATGCGCCTAATTGTTGGGATTGATTTATGGGAGTTAATCTATGTTGTCCAGTGGTTTATAGCAAAGACGGTGGCCTCTGCTTTTTCCGTGTGCTCTACAGCAAAATTGGCTTTACATTCCCAGAACGTTCCTGTTTTCATTTAATCTTGGCCCTGGCCGGCTTTTGAAGCGAGAGCGTTTGGCGGAGAAAAGGAGGACAACAGTGGCGTCACAAGTCAGGCTAACTCATCCAATTCCAGCCCAGTGTTCGGTTAAGCAGGGCCAAGACAAAAATGTTTCCGCAGGTGTTCCGACGAGGCCGAGGTGAACAAGTCAACGGTGACTGCACTCCACAGAACAGCAATGATGCTTGCGAATTTGAATGCAACGCGCCAGTTGCTGCTCGTTCCCGTCAAAAAGGGAGAGCGTGCAATTCACGGCCACATGATGCATCCGATGGTGAAATAAAGAATGGCCATCCCTGTTCTAGAGAGCTGCACAAAAAGCGCTGCAGCAAAGATCTTTCGGAACCACCTTCGCGCTCAAATGGGACTTCACCCGCAGGCAGTGCCGCTTCAAACAGCTACACGGCACTTGCAGGGCGCATACGCTGGCAAAGTTCAGGCTACAATCTTGAGGATATTAGCTCCAGCGCGGATAAGAGCCGCCGTATATATTGTGCTGCTTGTGGTGAGCTTGGGGGGGCTCTGTTGTGCCACGAGTGCAGTCCACGGCCAGATACTTTCCTTCTTCACTACAGAAGGTCATACATTTACAAGGCTTTGGATGTACTTTTGAGCATAGCCGAATTTTTTGGCCTTCAGCTCCGTCGAGCGTGCTTTTTGTTGCGGAGGTACTTATTCACTGGGGCCGGAAAATCACAGCCAAGTGCCGCTGCGCATGAGAAAGCCGATGCTTGCGCTGCAAGCAAAAGTTCCCTGCCTCAAGGAAGCGCAAGCACAAGCCGTCGAAGACGTATGGCAGGCGACACCCAAACCAAAAACTTGCGAGGAACTGATTGTGTCCAGGCGCGGCATCACCAACAAGAAGACACTATGCTAACTCGATCTAGAGACACTGCTGCGAGGGCTCAGTCGTCTCCAAAGCAAAGCAAGCTACAGAAGCTTCAGCTGCAAAGCCCTTCAAACGTCACCCACACGTTTTGGGCCATGGTGAATTTTGTGGAAGATATGCTGATCAGTTGTTCTTATGCACATCCCTTACTAGTCTGGGCAGCGTGGGGCTTCCTCAGCCTTTGCTTTTACTGCGTTCTGAACTGCCTGTTATGGCCAATTCTGATCGTCCTCTTTTTAGCGCGCCGGGTCCGATTCTATGTTTGGGCTGTTGTTGTAAGGTGGCGCAATTCCATCTTTTTTTCTGAAGACCTTGAGGCTCGTTTAGCGAAGCAGATAAGTGCTTCTGATGGTGCAGTTCGCCTCCCCCTCCCTCAGCAAGCTAGTAAACGAGGCAGCTCTACTGAAATATTGTCTTTGCTGGAGAGCCAAGAGAAGCTTTTCTTTTCCATGCCATGGATGGCGGTAACAGGTTTCTCTTACTGTGAAAGACTAACATATCAAGAGCTCTGCATGGCTGTGACCCAGAAGCTCCTTAAGCCAAAAAACGAATATGCGCGCTTAGCTAGCTGCAATAGGAGTGATGACTTGCTGAGCCATTTACCACTGTCGGCGTTTCTGCACCCGCGGCTTCTCGCGAAAGTTGATCGGGTGATGGGGAGATACTGTTGGGTTCGGCAGCCAGGTTTCCACGTGACGCAACAGGTTGTGCGCTTTACAAAGAAATCCATTGACGTCTTCCGCCAACAGTGCTTTGGTGACGGAGAAGGCATGCAGGATAGTTGTAACCCACTGAAGTGTTCTTGTTCGTGCAGATCTGCAGCAGACTGCAATTGTTTAATGGACGAATCGGATGTGATATGCTTGGTCAATGGGGCGCTTTCGCAGCCTCTGGACCCGACGAAACCCCTTTGGCAGTTCCTGTATCTAGAAAATGTCATTGTGCCGCCGGATCCTACAAGCAATCCGTTAGAGAAGGCACGCATTGGAAGTGTGGTCGTGTTCCGCATGCACCACGTAGTGGGGGACGGGATATCCATAACGCGCATGTTTTTGAAGGACTTCCTGTGTTCAGCGCCGTCAAGCCCGGGGGGTACCATCATCGAGAAGCCCATGGCCCACAAAGAAATAGACGACAAACCAACCCCGTCAGATAAGAGTGCTCCTGCTGAGGCCAGCGGGGAAACATGCCATGGCCAGAGGCCCCTGGAAGAAACAAATGAAACAGAAGACACTGTTAAGACGCTTGAAAATGGTAGCCCTGCAATCGCTGCCAGTACAAGTACTATGTGGACAGCATCAGGTCCTTCGCAAAAGGCTTCAACTGAGGCAAGCGACGCGAACGAGAAGCTCTCACGTCCGGTGCAGGAAACATTGACATTCCCAGGCACTGTTCAAGCAGTGGCCCCTCAGAAACCACCCGCCTCTGTCTGCTCTGTTCCTGATACAGCCTTTTGGAGGCTGTTAGTGGCGGCCCGTTTCGCTTTCCAGCTTCCATTTTATGGAGCAGCTATGGCTATGCTGCTGAGTTATGACGGACTACTAAAGGCTCCTCGGAGCGGCAGTGCGCACAAAACAAGAATTGCCCGCCCCATCCGTCTGCCTTTAAAGGAGCTGAAGGACGTTAAAACCCGCCTTGAGGTTGTCCTGGCTCACCAGGAGGCGACTGTTGAGCCGCCAGTTTTTCCGTTTTCCAGCTTGACTAAATTGCTTCCCCGGATTTTTAGGTCTTCTAAAAGTTCTGAGGGGAAGCTCCACCTACCCGAGAAACAGAACGGCCAGGGAGAAGCCACTGTCACTACGAAATGCGCCAGAGCATCAAGCGGTACCCAGGAAGGTATGAAAACTGTTCGACTGACTCTTAACGACATATTTGCTACGTGCATTGTGGGAGGGTATCATCGCTGCACAAGTCGGCCGAAAATCGGGACAGATTCCAATGGAACTGATGACACAAAGGCCGCAACGCAACCTCCGAGTACTAATCGCAGAAAGGAACAAATAAACTTTGTAGTGCCTGTGAACCTCCGTCGGCGTGATGAGGATGCGATGGATCTCCGGAACCGCTTCGCGTCCCTTGTCATTCAAATGCCGATCACCCCTGCGGGCAACTCATTAGAGAGGCAAGCGTTCTTCCTTAATTTCTTATCCTGTTCAAAGAAAAGCCTCCCGCTGGGTGAAGATCAACACATCGATTCTGTGGTGTCAGTAGTTATCTTTTAATATTCCGGTACA